AGATTAGATTCTTGGGACCTGATATAGACGAAAAAGTCATACATCCGAATGAAGACAAAATCAAAGCCATTACCATGCCAAAACCGACAACAAAAGAGGAGTTAGCACCATTTTTAGGCATAGCCAGTTAGAAAATTTTTGTGTAACTTTGCAGATTTAGCAGACCCGTTATATAAAATAGTTAATAAAGAAATGAATATGGGAAGATGCACATCAAAAAAGTTTTGATGATTTAAAAAAGTTGATTAGTAGTCCGCCAACTCTAAATTTTTACAACCCTGAATTACCTATAGGAATTGCTACTGATGCTTCGAAAAAAGGTTTAGGTGCAGTATTATTTCACATTGAAGGCGATGGTAAAGAGAAACCTATAGCATTTGCGTCGAGAACTTTATTGAAAGCTGAAACAAATTATACAAATTGAAAGAGAAGCATTATCTATAATATATGTTGTGAAAAAATTTCAAGAATAATTGATTGGGACAAAATTTACGATAATAACAGATAACAAACCACTAATATATATTTTTTCAAAAACACTTAAAGAAAATACTTCAATATCAATGCGTTTACAAAAGTGGAATTTAGCAATGGGAGCTTATGATTACACAATAGTACACAGACCGGGGAAACAGAATTTAGTGCCAGATTGTTTATCAAGATTACCATTGACAAATACAGAAAGCTTCATAAAGAATATAGAAGGTGAAAAAATTGATGACAAATTATGGGAAATCCCAATAAACTACAATAGAATAGTTAAAGAAACAAATAAGGATGAAGAATTAATGGAAATAATTGATAATATTAGGAGTAACAAACCGATAAAAAATAAAACGTACAAAAATATGGAAATGGAATTGAGATTGATGAAAGATTGTCTTTTTAAGGAAAACAGAATAATAATACCGATAAACATGAGAAAGGAGATCTTACGTGAATTACACAAGGGGCATCTAGGAGCAGGCAAAACGAAATTGTTAGCAAGAGATTATTTGTGGTTGCCTGGTATAAACACAGAGATAGATCAAGAGGTGAAAAATTGTGATTCGTGCAATAAATACACAGATAACCCACACAACATACAAAACCCATGGGAAAAAGCAACTAAGATTTTTGAACGCATAGGGGAGACCGGGGTACATTGAGTACAGGGGAACGTTAGGACATTCTAATTATAATTTGAGCTATTATTTTATAAGACTGGAAATTTGAGCCTAACATAGATAATTTTGTCATACATGATTGGCTAAAAAAGATTTGTAAAATATTTATTATTTTAATTTTTACAGAAGAAAATGTGTTTTGGCATACCAAAAGTAATAAATAGATTTTGCACAAATTGAAAATAACAATTTTATGGTATTTGTTGACGCATATAGAAAATTTCCAATAATAAAACGTATGAAGAACTTACTGAATCGACGGTAAAAGAATTGATGAGAATTGTTAGTTTATTTGGAATACCATACAAAATAGTGACGGATTATGGTACTAATTTTACTAGCTATTTATTTAAAAACTCACTGCACCGCATCATCAACAATCGAATGGGCAATGTGAACGCATGATAAGAACGATGAAAATGAGTATGAAAAGGAATATGGAAAACAACAAGAAAATAGATTTGGACATTGTTTTGGAGAAATTTTTGTTCAATTATAGAAATAGGCCTAATGACACAATAAACATGATACCTAGCAAATTGATGTTTTCAAGAACAATGAGGACTAAATGGGATTTAATTAAACCAATGGAAGAAAATGAGAATGCATTAAGGAGGAAAATATCGAATAATAGAGAAATAAATGTAGGAGAAAAAATTTGGTACAAGACGTTTAAAAAAAATATTTCGGATAAAGGAATATTGATACAAAAAGACGGGAACTTATCATATAAAATAGATAATGGACACAATATTATTAGGAAGCATTTAGATCAAATAAAGAAAAGATCAATAAATACAACAAAGGATAATACTAAAACAAATTTTAGAGGGGGAAGAAGTGAACAAGTTCTAGTTCAAGGTCAAAATTCACAAATTCAAAGTCAAGTTCAAAATTGAGAAATGATTGTTATAAATAAATAAAAATTTGATAAAAAAGAGAAATGGAAATGGGATGATCAATACAAACAACAAATCCACAAGCAATGTTCAACCAACGTTTCACAAACGATAATCAATAAAAGATTCAACAAACGATAATTCAATGGTCAAACAAACTAACTCAAGCCGTACTAACAAATGACTAATGTGGGAAATGTTAAATATATATTTCGAATGATAAAAATATTCAGACGACCTTTTCGTATTTTTTCTTTCTTTTTCTTTTTTTGAAATATATTTATATGACCTTTAAAAACTTATTGTACTTTTCTTTTTTTGATATGTAAAAACTTGTTAAAATAACTTTTCTTAACTAACCTATTGTATATAATGTAAATATTATTAAAAGTATTATATATATAGAGTTGTAAAAAGATATAATTTTTAGTGTTAGAAAAAAAAAAAAAATTAAAATAAAGAGTAAACGACAATGCCTTCTATATAAATATTAATAATAAATATTTTCAGTCACAAGATATTTAAAATACCTTTTATTTTTCCTATATCAATATTTTGTGTTTATATAAATATTCCTAACCACCTAAGATCTCCCGCCTACTAAGTATAATCATTACAATCAAGAGATATTTAAACTAGCTTTTATTTGATACCCTTATCGATATTTTGTGTTGATAAAAAATATTCCTCTCCTCCTCACCCAAGATTAAAACCAGCCCGGTATGAGGGATTATTATTATTACAATAAAAAAAATTTAATTACCTTTATACCCATATCAAAAAAAATTATTTATTACACCCCACCCCCTCGCTCCATTCCCCCCCCCAGACCAAGTCATACCCATCAAGACAAAAAAATGAACACTTTCAATCTAAAGATATTTAAATTTACTTTTATTAGATACCCATATCGATAAGAAAATATTTTAATTACTTTTATTTGATACCCATATTAAAAAAAATTATTTTTTTACAATCTCCCCCCCCCCCTGTTTTACCATCTTCTAACTTTATAATGTCATTTGTTTTTAGTACGTTTTTTTTCTTTTTCTTCTTCCCCTTTCCAAGATTGTGATGGCGGATTCCCCTGATATATGGCAATCCCTGGAAGATTTCTTATATATTTCACTGTTTTATATTTGTTTGTTATTCTATCATCATTTTTCTCTGGGTTTAGCGATAAAGCATCTACAATTATATTATTAGGGCTATTCTTGTACATTATATCATAATCATATGCAGATAATTTATAAGCTCAACGTAATAATCTTTGGTTTGTTAATGAGTTTAAATCTCTGTTATTATCATATATCTTTATTAAAGGTTTGTGGTCCGTTCGTATTTTAAATTTTCGTCCATACAAATAGTTATGAAATTTTTCTACGCCGTTTATTATTGCTTTGGCTTCTTTGAATTCTTAAAACGTTGGTAGAATGTGATAGTCTGAAGTGTTACGTACCACTACCATTGGAGTACTCCAGGTCACTCTTTTGTTGATGGATCTATTTTCTTTATTTTTTTTTCCGGTCATGGGTTACTTTATTTGAATATTTACTGATATGATATGATGTCAAAATGTATTAGCAAATAATTAATTTTTTAAAAAGATAAAATAAATAAAGGTGAAAAATTGTAGAAATAGAATTTACGGGAAAGGATAGGGGATAAAAAAAGGAAGCTTGGAAAATGGAAGGTTATTCAATAGAAGAGATGAAGCTTAGATAGTTAGAACGAATGATGGCGGTAGCAAGTCTTTGGAGTAAGAAGAGGAATTTCTTAGGCTGGTCGGTTTTTTCGCGGATCCGTTTGCCTAAATCTTTAAAAAAACGTTGAGCTTTGCTACTGAAGGTGGTGAGAATGGTGCAGGCGATGGGTATGAATAAGAAAGAAGGGTCTAAAGAACTGTACTTTATGGTTTTGCGGGATTCAGCGAGGGCGAGGGCATCGACGTTATGTGGTGCATTTTGGTCAAGGCAGGTGAAGTCCCAAACCAGGAGCTGACCCCTTGACCAGGGAATAAAGGACATTCCATCAGGACGCTTTCCATCGGTTCTGAAAATTCCGGTTGGTTCTAGTCTAGATGGAATGTCTCCTTATTTGAGGGCTCGTAAAATGATGTCATTGCATTTGGTGTGCCGTGAAAAGCGGCCACAACAAAAGCGACAATGGAGGCAGTGCCTACCCTTGCTGTCGACGCTGGTTTCGCAATGTTTGCATTGGTTCGGAAGAACAATTTCGCAATTGAGTCGTAGTTCAATAGCAAATCTTAGCTCGTCAGCAATGAGCAACAAATCGAGGTTGTTGGAGGGTATGGTTTCCAGAAACTCGTAACCAGATCCTTGGTTCAATTGGTGAAAAACTGTGAGATCGTCGTTGTGAATTTTTCAAACATTTTAGTTCATTTTCTATTTCTAATTTTAAAGGCAACGGTACTCTTCTAGCTAGCAGTGCAATTGGTTTTGAATTTTCTTCCAATTGTAGTTTTACTGGTTCGACATTCTTTATTAATCCTAATTTATTATCATACACCGTCGATAATTCTTTATATAGTTTGTCAATATATTTATTGTTGATCATATTGATTTTTACATTTATCGCTGGGGTGGCCTATTGGGTTATGATGTAGGCTTGGAAACAGAAGGTCCCAGGTTCGATCCTGGTAAGGAAGGTTAAATTTTTCGGGCTTTTCTTCGATGAATGATGTGTAAAGACATATGGTAAGATGAATTTCAGAACTTAGAGATGACATCCCGGTCACTGACAGACTTGGACAGCCGGTGGATACTTGTTCAATAAATAAAAATGAAGGATACAAATGGAAATACGAATATGAAAGCTAGGGCGTTCCCTCCAAGCGACGCTAAGGGTGTAGACCTCCATACTGCGAAAAGTAAATTAAAAATCAAAGCAAAGAAGACTGAGAGAATTGGCATCAATGTTGAACAAGAGAAAAGTTGACATAGCGTGCATACAAGTGACGAAATGGAAAGGTCAGAAGACTTTAATGATTGGAGATGGGTATAAATTGTACTATAATGGAATTGTTAGCAATAGGAACGGTGTCGGCATCATCCTCAGTCAAGATCTAACCTGCTCAGTAGTAGACAACAGGATCTCTGATAGACTAATGAAGATAAAACTCTGCATTGGTCAATCAATACTACACATCCTTTCAGTATATGCTCCTCAAACGGATTGCAAGGAAGAATTGAAAGATGACTTTAGAGCTATCCTTGATGAAGCTGTAATGGAAATCCCTAAGGATGACCTAGTCATAATAGGAGGTGACTTAAATGAGCATGTGGGAAAAGCAAGAGACAGCTACAAAAGGCATCATGGTGGTTTTGGATATGGAGAAAGAAATGATGAAGGAGAGCATGTACTGAAATTTGTGCAAGCCTTTGATCTTGCCTTAACCAACACCCACTATAGGAAAAAGGACAGTCATTTAATAACATATGAAAGTGGTGCAAGGAAAACCCAGATAGATTACATGCTTATCTCTCGCAGATAAAAGATGTTCCCAGGAGAAGATATTGCCGCACAACACAAGCTACTAGTCCTGGATTTACACATCACAAATAAATCCACTCAAAACAAGATAAAAGTTGAACCATGCATTAAATGGGGTAGATTAAAATCAATGACAGATGCCGTTGCAATCAATGCAAACATTGAAACAATAGATTCCTCACAAGTCAGTGAAAAAATGTGGACATATTTTTCATCCAGACTAATAGACACTGCTAAATCGACACTGGGCTTAACAAGGGGAGGCAACATATCATGTAAAGAACTATAGTGGTGGAATGAAGATGTACAAACCACTATAAAGGAGAAAAAAGCCCTATATAAAATATGGTACAAATCTAAAAACCAAGATGACAAGACAAATTACAAAAAATAAAAGAGAATAGCTACAAAGACGGCTAGGGCCAAAGCTAAGGCACACGATGACATGTATGAAGAACTATGGTAACTCACTGAATCACGGTATTTTTTTAAAATTTTTTTTTTCTTCGAGAAAAGAATTCTAAGGATATAAACGGAGCTCCGAAAGTAATCACAAATAAAGATGGGAAATTGATAATAAAGGAAAAAGAAATAATGATAGATGGAAAGAATATTTTCAGGAGTTCTCAACTTTAATTCCCACATACTACATCTAGACGAACACTCCCCATGTCAAAACCTACAACCAATATCAGAACAAGAAATAATCACATGCCTCAAGCATATGAAAAACAACAAAGCTAGGGGTCCAGATGATATTCCAATAGAAAGCCTTAAAGCACTAGGAGATGATGGAATACATTACCTCACAAATCTGTGCAATAAAGTACTGGGAAATGAAGAGACCCCTCAAAAATGGAGGCAGAGCTATCTAGTTCCTATCTTCAAAAATAAAGGGGATATTGTCAAAATTACAGGGGCATAAAACTAATGTCACACTTTCTTAAACTCTACGAAAAAATAATGGGAAAAAGGTTAAGAGACATAATCGAAATAGGAGAGACTCAGTTTGGCTTTATGTCAACAGCTGATGCTATCCACGCAATTAGGCAAATGAGTGAAAAATACAGGGAAAAGAACAAAAAGCTACACATGGTCTTTCTCAATCTAGAAAAGGCCTTCGATAGAATCCCAAGAAAACTTATTTGGTGGGCGCTACGCCACATAAAGGTTGCCAAAAAATATATAAGAATAATATAGGATATGTATGGACCATACAACAATGGTGCGTAGCACAACTGGTACTTCAACAGGCTTCACAATAGCCGAGGGAGTTCATCAAGGGTCAGCTCTCAGCCCACTTCTCTTCATAACAGTAATAGATGTATTAGCACAGTCTATACCACAAACAGTCCAGTGGACTATGATATTTGCAGATGATATTGTGATACTTGCCGAATCCAAGGATGAAATGAAAGAAAGATTAGTGAGCTGGATAAATATCCTAGAAAATCACGGACTAAAAGTAGATAGAGAAAAGACGGTAACAAATATTAAATGAAATTTAAAAAAATATATATAAGGTGAGATTAATAAAAAGTCAAAAAATATTATCTAGTGAAAAAGGGAGGAAAAATTGTTTAAAAATTACATAAAAATAGAGAGAAATAAATAAAATATTTTTAAAAAGACAAAAAGTAATGATCAAAAATTGAGAAAAGAAAAATTAAGATTAAAAATTTAAAGAGATCGCAAAAAGTTGGAAATAAAATAAAAAGGAAAAATATTAAAAATTAAAAATTTAAGAAAAATTGACAAAAAAATAAATTTTTTAAGATATATAAAAAAATAATGATTTTCCTTATTTGAAAAGGAACTTTTTTGATTGACACTTTTTTTGATAGGACCTTTTCTTTTTTTTGATTGACTCTTTTCCTTCTTTGATCTGACATTTTTCTTTTATGATTGACCCTTTTCCGTTTTTGATTAGAACTTCGACATTTTTCCGTTTTTGATTGGAACTTTTCCTTTTTTGAATAGAAAATCCCGTAAATTATTGTTTCTTAATTATATATATATACATCATAATTGTAATGAAATAATTTGATGTGCAAAAAATATAAATATAAAAGATTTGATTGCCACGGAGAAATAAAATATGAAATTAAAAAAATAAAAATATAAGGAGAAAAAATACCATAAAAGGTCAAAAAATTATTATGTAGGGCGAAAAATGAAAAAGAATTGAATTGTTAAAATTTATATAAAAATAAAGTAAAGAAAAATATAACAAGGAAAATAAATAAATTATTATTTAAAAAGACAAAAAAGAATTATCGAAAATGAAAATAAAATAGATAAGATAAGATAAGAAAAGATAAATAAAAATTAAAAATGACTTGAAGAGATCGCAAAAAGTTAGAAATAAAATAAGAAGGAAAAATAAAAAAAACTATAAATTTAAGAAAAATTGACAAGAAAATAATAACGATTTTCCTTTTTTGAATGGGAATTTTTCTTTTTGATCTGACTTTTTCATAAGCCTTTAGGATTCCTTTTTCGATTGACATTTTTCCTTCTTTGTTTTCCTTTTTTGCTTGACCCTTTTCCTTTATTCTAAGCCTTTGTGATTTTTCCTGTTTTGATTGAAATTAATCCTTTTTTGATCTAATCTTTTCCTTTTTGATTGGCACTTTTCCCTTTTTGATTGACACTTTTCCTTTTTTGATTGACACTTTTCCTTTTTTGGTTGGCACTTTTCTCTTTTTGATTGCAACTTATCAATTTTTAATCCAATTTTTTCCTTTTATGATTGACACTTTTCTTTTTTTGGTTGGCACTTTTCCCTTTTTGATTGCAACTTTTCCTTTTTTGAATGGGGAACCCTGTAAATCAAAATGAAATGAATGCCAATGACGTTCAAGAAATCAAAATAGTTAAACCTCAGGCGACCTAATTCTTTTAGGCAGGGCTCTAATAAGGGTTTAAAATTTTATTCAAAGAATTTTACAAAAATATTTGACTTTATTCATAAAATCGCATTTGTTTAGGTCTATGCCAGCTTATATCCTTAATAAAGCCTATAAATTTTCTATTGGATATAAATCAAGGCTTGATGCAGGTCATATTTGTCTGGTAAAATTTCATTGGAAGATTTTGTTCTAAGACATAGTGCGATATTGAAAAATAAATTCCCTTGCGAACACCTTACATCCCTCACCATTGAAATTATTTTGATATTTACATGAATAAATAATTTCTTCAGTAAAACACATGCTACCTATATATATCCTTTTACATAATACAACTTCATAAAATAACATATTTTAAAAATTTGAAGATCATTTTAATCCAATCAGGTTAGGCTTCATATGGCTTTTGTACTATAAATTTTTTTACAATCTAGTAATCAAGCGTAAATCTGCTTTCATCCCAAAATTACCTGCATCTTAGACTCACTCCATCTTAATGTTCCTTCGCTTATTCATGCTATTTTGTTTGGCATTTCAACAAAAGCTCTTCCTTTGCCTTAAAATTGAGAAAATTAGAAAAAGATTTTTTAAATATTAAATGTATACTTTCGAAAATATAAAAATACTAACAGAAATAATCATTTCGAGCAAAGAATTTCATTTAGAAGTAATACCACTGGTACATGAATATTAATATTTTTCATCAATAAATTTTGTAAATATCTCAAATCTTAATAAATTGAACACTTTTCCTACCTCTTTTTTCTCTGAGAACTGTTATGAGTATTTTAAACTATGTCATTGATAGTTTAACGACTAATCAGCAATATTTTCGAAACTTTCGCCACATGATCCCGTGTTTCACTACTTTTTTTTTCACTTTTAAAAATATTAATAAGGCCATTTCCAGACAGAACAAGGCATGTTTCCAGCAAATATTTTTTATTTCAAAACAAAAGATAATAATTTGTCGAATTAATTTTTTTAATATAAATATAATATTTTTTAAAAAAAGGTATTTCTCTCGCCATTTAATCGTTAATATAAAGAAAACCATTTGGCAGGTTTATCTGTTAGACAAAGCAATCATGAGCAAAACTTTGATATTTTAAAATAGGAAGATGTTTATTTAAAATTTGTAGGCTGAATAGGATTGTGGAGATTTGTTTGGCATAGTGTATTGTAAACAAGTGTAGGAAATTTTAAAGAATAAAATTAAATTAGAGCTAACATCCTGAGTATTTGAATCAATTAATGAGCTTGAAAATTTGTTAAAAGTTTTTACTTAAAACTATTGATGGGCTTATAATCATAAACATCATATAAATTTTAACGATTTATCTGCTAAACCCTAAATCCTTCGAATTTACCCTCTTAAGTAATATTTATTATTTCTAAAGAGTTTTAACAAGCAATCTTCAAGACCATTACTAAGAATGAGGGATTGGGAGGCCACACTTTTTTAAATAGTATATTTCGTTCATATTCCTTCTGTTCCTTTTACTCATGAATAATAATAATAAATTTGCTATTTTTTAAAATGCGGCTTGCGAACAAGCAGTTTAGAATTTTATTATATGCCATTTATTATAGTAAAACATAACATTGTTAATAAATTAATTATGTATTTTATTTTTTAAATTATAATTCATATAAAAGGCAAAATAGCGGGTATACTAGAGTTAAAAGTGAAATAAATAACTCATTTATCATATTAAGAGCCCTTTGTATTCATTTAAAATAAGCGATTGATTTTGAAATTAAAGTTAAGTGCTATTCTTGTATAATTAAAGGGCCAATAGTTGAGTTTTCTTCCTAAGTCATTTTTTAAGATGGAAACCAATCTCCAATATCTTACTTATATTTATATTAAAATTAATTTATATAAAGGTTGAATTTTATAATACTGACATAGATGATGACTGATGATGATGTTCATTCAAAAATATTTAATCTTTTTTTCAATAAATTTCTTTTTCTTTTGTATCTTTTTTAAATAATTGGTATTCATTGCAAATATATTATTAAAATGCACATAAATTCTTTTTAATTATCACATGAAATATAAATATTTTTCAAAAAACTACATATATTCTTATAAAGTCTATAATTTTAAACTTTTTTATGGCTTTAAAAAGTCATAATTTTATTCATTATAATTTTTTTTTAAATTTAAGTTTTTTAACGGGAGATTTCGTTAATTATTATGGCGTTTTTATATGTCAATGGAAGTTAAAAAAGAGTTAAAAATATTTGAAAACTGAACTGTCACTGAAAATTTACTTAAAATTTAAATAATTTAAGCTATACTTTATTATGTTTAATTTTAAACTAATATAACTATGACAAATGTAAAATATAACTGGTCTAAGTCAGATCTTCAGAATAGTGAATATTAATGTTATCTAAATCAGGGAGAAGTTAGATAAGGTGGATTTTTTCAAATATTAAGTTGAACTTTGCAGCATATGGCAAATTAATATGATTTAAATAAGGATAAAAGTTGATTGGGTAAAGTAAAGAGTTATATGTGGAATTCTATTAAAAAACCTATCTTAGATAAGTGCAATACTATCTTTTTGTCGATGATAAGGCCGATACTGAAGAATCAAACTAGGCTTCGAGATAAAATCGAATATGCGTGTTACAGAAATGAAAATATTCATTAAAATATGTAGGAAAAAATGGGAAATCTTGAAGATTAACCTCCAATTAATATTTAAATGAAAAAGAGTAGGTCACCCTACCCTGTTTTGTCAATTAGGAAGGAAGGGTTAACAAAAAATTTTATGTAAACATTAGAGACGGGGAATAACATAAAAGCGTGGAGTACATAATTAACCAGAGAAAAATTGATTTATTCTTTTGGATAATGTAAATTGAAATATTATTATAAGAAATTTTTTTTTTAACTTTCGGGTTTGTTTATTATCATGATCCAAATTTTAGAAATGATGATTGGTTATTCTATATTAGATTTAGACTAATGTTTAACTAATTTTAAAATAAAAATATTGACGTGAAAATCTTATTAAATTTCATCTTTCTTTTTTTATGATTATGATAATTAATACACATAATCAAATCAATGATAAAACCAGGGTGAAAAAATCGTTATCGGGAACAAAATAAGCCAAAAAACAAACGTTGTTTTTTCGTTTTTTTTTATTTAAAAATAAAATTTATTGCTAATTAATATTTTATTTCAAATTTTTTATTTTCACAGTCATTTATATAAAATTTTAAAATATAATAAATCTAACAATATACAAATAAAAGACAATAATGCATAGCATTCTTGAACATTGTTTCATTTAAATATAAATTGGTTATATTAAATTTGATAAACAAGATGGTAGGGAGTCTGTGCATGCTCACTCGTGATGTTTAGAAGTAAAATTCTATTTTCTGCTCTAACATTCATTCTTAGACTATATTATGATCCTTTAGTCTACAGTTACTTGAAGAAAAAATGCGTTTTGAGCAAATACATTCACAAATTATTTCCCTTTTTTCTCCAGCAATAAAAAGTTGTGGTATTAACCAAGATTTGTATTGTGTAGATTTGTGCGCCAAAACCTCAATTCTCAATTGACGGAGGCGGTTATTAAATCTTTTTATCTCGTTCATCCGATCACCATCTCCTAATAAATAGGCGGCGGCCTTGGCGCGTCATTTATTTAGAATATTTTTAATTCATTTTATTTATAATTTAATGAATTACATTTTTTTATAGTAGTTAGGCGCTCTTAGTTCCAAAATTATTAATATAATTAGTTTAGATCTTAAATTATTTTCTGTCTCACTCCTATTTAAATTTATGCCTTATCTCAGAAATAGATTAAGGAATTTCATTTTTATTTAGATCAAAGTGACATAAACAACACATATTAGTAATATTCTATAAATTTTTGTTAAAACAAATTAAATATAAATTTGGAATCCTGACAAAATATAAAGTAAAAAATATCATAAATTAGAAATTATATTTAGTAAAATTATATTTGTCAAGAATAAATAGTATTTTATGAAGAGTTAAGTTGGGCATACTGGTTGTAGGGATACAAAGAACCCTCCAAGCTAAATTAGCAAGCCTATGAAGATCTGGTCGAATTTTATTCCAAAGAGTTTACCCATCCTCTTCTGGTATACTATTTTGGCTGAGTAAAATATGGCATTCTTGCTCTAGATTGCTAATGTTACTAATAATCGTTGTTTGGAAAGGACTGTTTAAAGGCTATTTTAGTTGTATATGAACTGATATTCTCGTATCTTCAACTTGAATCTCACTTATCATATTCTAAAAGTTGTTCTAAATGTCTGATAAAAATTGCAATGATGTAGAATTCGAATTTAAATATTCTGAAACAATTTAAATATTTTGAAATCTCGGATCAAGCAATGTCTCTAATAACTGTAGTATTATGCAAATGATTGTTATTGTGTAAATGATTATTTTTAATATTTAAGCAAAAAAGAAAATATATTTGATAAGAGATAAGTTCAAGCATAGATGATTATTCAAAATTAAAAAGTGTATTATATTTTAGGAATTGTTATATGAACAAGTATAGAAATTATATTTTGTAATATTATTATTCAAATTGAAAAGATTATATTTTATGCATAGATATATAAAGTAGAAAAAAATCAGAAAACAAAAATTATGTTTTTTCTTATATACAAAATCTAATTTTATAAATTTAGTAATCGATTGTATTTTACATTAATTAGATTCATTATATATTATCTTTAAATAAATCAATTATTCTCAACCTCGTAGTCCTTCTCTAACACACACGACTCTTAAAAATAACTAATGTTTAAAATAATATTTATAAATAAAATATGATATAAAATAAATTACTATAAGTTCGGTAATTGGAAACCTATAGTAAAGCGTTATTTGCATATTTTCTTTTAAACAAAAGATATCTGAGCAATCAGATTTATTGATTTGTATAAGTGTTTATATTTCATTGCGAAAGAATAATCCTATATATATTATTAATCTTTTTTGGAGGAAAGAAATTCCACCGACTCTCCGAATGGATTTAATAATGTGTAAAGTTCGTAACCTAGATTTCATTCGATATTGAAAAGGTTTGAAGATTGTTTTCCAATTTATTTAGCACTTTATTTATAGGAATCTTGTTTGGACTATGGATATTTTCTAGCATAATTAATATGTTGTGTCAGCGGGTAGGACAAGCTAATTTTAAGATTTTCGTACTAATTAGATTTGTTGATACATATCAGCATCGTCAGAGATATCAAAATGTTCATCAAGATATGGATCAGTATTATCAATATCCAAAATATGGCCGGCCTCATAAATTGATTTCAGGGATTCGATGCTCCAATTCCACATTCCAAATCGCTACTCCATATCTGAGGGTTGAATGACTTCTCTAATTTTTTAACCAGAATATTAATTCCTGCAACTTTTTTATGCCATCAACTGTAACTAAATTATGAAGACCATTCCCTAGGCATAAATGATGCTCATAATCCCCCAATTTAACGCTTCTTTTGACATTTACCACAATATCAGTTAACATCCGTATTATTTTATTTCTATAAGTGGAATTCCTCTTCTACACTATCGATATCAGATAATATGGTTTCACCAGTATGCTTTTCCGTCACGTTTCTAGTTCCCAGGGCAAAATATTTTAAATAAAAATTTTCATTTATGAAGGCTAAACATTATATAATTCTAAAAATTCTACACGCCACGCCTCCGCTAAAAAAATTTCTTACGAATCTGGTTGCGCCGATCATCTCATTTGGCCTCTTTTCCGGGTGAAAAAAAAATCGCCGTTATAATGAACATTCTCATCCAACACCTACCTAAATATTTTATAATATAATTTCATGTTTTTAAAAATAAAATTTAAAAAAGTATTTAAATAAATTTTCTTTTGTTCCCTCGATGTTGGTAGTAATATTTTTTTTCTTGTTTTTCCCCCAATTTTTTTTACGTTTTCTCTTTATTTTTTAAAATATTTTCGGGTGTTTTTTTCTTTTTTTGTAAAAAATGTTTTTTTTTTCATACCTAGATTAAAGCTATCAACTAAAAATATTGTTATTTACAAATTCGTTCCTCAAATTCAATATTATGGACGTCTCATTAATAAATCATTTCCTCCTTCTTTGTTATCGGTTACTCCTAATAACGAACATTTTCAAACATGTTTGATATTTTATTTTATATTGATTTTAATTAAAAATAATTTAATTTTTATAATTCAAATATATTATCAAGGTATATATGATATGAATGTATTTGTAATAAAATAATATATATAATAATTATAATTATATAATAAAACACTATATATAAATATTTTAAAAAAGACAGATATTAAATTATATATTAAATATGATATATTGTAAATAAGGCTTCTTATTTTTACGAGAAAATTTAATTAAATAAAAATTGTTATTTATCATTCTTTTTAAAAATAAAAATAAAATAATACCCATTTTAGACCTTAGAACAATTTTAAAAAGTAATCAAGCCTAAAAAATAAAATTTGTTAATTAAAAAAAAAATTCATAATGATAAAGAAAATATTTGGAAACGCATCGATAAGTGGAGGTTTTATAGAATCATCAAACACTTTGATGATAACGAAAGAAAATTCTGAATTTTTTGTAACTTTCAAATTTTTCAAGTTATCCACAAATATTTTCCTCATGGCTTTGTTGACCATTAGTATGGGCCATATAAATTGTTTCTCTATTGGCAAGTACGCTAATCAAGTGATTGAAAAATATCCTGTCGAACCTTACTATTCCTCATCCTCACCCTCACATAGGTATTATTTATCATTTAAAATAATAATTGAAAATTTTTCATTGGATTTGCCCGCTCATCCCTACCCATCATAATTATAAGATATTTTAATAGATTTATTAAAAAATTTCGAACTTTCTTATTCTTATGAAAAACTTGTTAAACCATTAATATTATATCTGATCATAGGTATTCAATCTATTAAAGTAACCATAAAAAATTTTTACTGACCCCCCCCCCCCCCCAGCCCCACAAACAAATGAAATAAGAAGTTGACTATGTCCAAAAATACTTACTACAAGTTCTAAAAAAAATTATGAATCTATGATGATTTTATTATAAATAAAATATATTTTAGAGAGACTAGTTTTTTAAAATTAGTTATTTTGAGCTTTTAAAAAATTTAAAATACAATATAGAATTTGGAAAATTTGAATTGGATTTTAATAGAGTTGTTTTGTTCTCACTTTTCCACTATATTGAATTTAGAAAAATAAAAAAAATTAAAAAATTGGATTTGGGTACAAGGTGATTTATAGATGAATAACTAAGATTTTCTAAATCTTAATATATTCATAAATTTATTTTTTAAAGGACTAAAATAATATATTTATCAGAGACCCGGAAAAGGTATTATTTTTAATCCAGGCCCGGATTTTTTAAAAATATATTACATTTTTTATTTTTATAGCTATAATGGCGATTTTAACTATCCAGGTTTAAAAAGTACGCCCCGGGTCGTGTATATTTAAAAAATAAAAATACTACCGGGTCCGTGTACCCAGGCTGGGCTTAGGGTCGCGCTCGCAGGTCTCTGATATTCATACTAGCCTCATATCTATAGTTTGGTAATGTGGCCTTTTTTTAATTCCAGAAAATAAATGGAAAAATTCTAAATTTAATTTTTTTAAAAAAAGGATTGTGTAAAAAAAGGGAACATTAATGCGAAAATATACATAGATCGTCATATATTAATTGTATTTAAAATAGTGCAAGTTTTAGGAGTGCTATATATCAATTTATATGCAAATTATACTAGATAACATTATTATATATAGTTTTTATAATACCATTTATATTAATAACTTTAAATTTATATGTTAATTTTTTTTAATTTTATCTTTAAAATTAAAGAGTAAACTTTTTTGATGTAGTTCTTTAGTTTTAGGACCAGAAAAACTTAAATTTTTTACCCTTTCTATTAATAATTATTGTACCTTTCCTTTTCTATTTGAACTCTCTACTAGTGTTGTTAAAAAGCCCGATTTGGGTAAATTTAAAAAACGGGCCAATTAGTATTTTAGTCATAATAACGAGATTTAGCAAATAGTCTTTCATAAGCAAAATCTCCAGGATATTATTATGGTGAAAATTTAAATTGAGCTTTTTAACAAAACTACTCTCTACCCGTCATGCTACTAGTATTCTATCCATAAAGTGGCAGGCCGTTTATGGCCGGATATTGCTTTGGTGTAATTTCCATTAAAACGAATATTTTATTCGTTCCACCATTTACTTCATTTAAAATAAGAAAAGATATGTTTCAAAATATTCATGTCATAGAAGAAGGTGGGTTGTCAATATAATAATTAAAAATTTTTTTTATAAGGAATCTATTTTTAATAAAAAATTATATATCTTGAAAAATAAGATAAGTCATTAATTTATATTATATACTATTAAAATGGCTTAGTAAAAATATTAAACATTCAATAGGCTTAGACCGTTTTTGCCAGTGTTTCATTTTTTAAAAAATGCCTTATTGGCTAATTTTATTTTTATTTTTTTAATATTAGGCACAAATATATTTTAGTATTTTAACGATAATTTATATTTGATATAAATATATATAAATGTTTTTAAAAAAATAAAATAATTTAAATCATCTCTTCCTTCCTTATTTATTTTCATAAAATATTTCTTCAATATACTTTTATAAATACTATATAAACTAGGAATGGATATTATCAAATTTGTGACATTCCGAAAATGAATATTTTCATGCAGGACCCCATTTATTTCTATCCAAAACAAAGGTACAGGTATATTGGAAAATTTTTTATATTTAAAAAAATTTGCATGAATCTATCTCAAGAACCAGTCCAATTTGGTTTATCCGATGATATCTCAGTTAGTTAAGAATTTATTAACTGGCATAGTGAGGAGGGTACGCAGAGTGCCCCTAAAAATGTGGGAAAACTTAACGTGCCATTTTCATAATTTCTTAAAATTAGGGAAATAACCGTAATATATATTATGATTTACTGGCAAAAAAATATAAAGAGGTTACGGTTTTCAAAATATTATAAAGCTTTAGGTTTTTAAATTTTCAAAAAAAGTTTTATAAAATAAGTAAAAGCTATTGTTAATTAAATTTTTTTAAAGTTCTTAATAAAAAAAGTTAGGTGTATAACTTTTCAATAAATCACCTAAGATATTTAAAGGAAAAAGTTTATGAATATTATAAAAGTTTTAATTCAATGTTTCCAGTTTGTTAAAAAGGTTCCATTAAAGCTCAATAATTTATAATTGAAATTTTAATCTTCAATTTTTTTAAATGACACATTTTTACATGCCCTTATCTATTTTTTAGAAATATAGCGTGCCCATTTCAACAATTTTAACTAAAGCATTGCTTAAATGTTTCGTATATTATCTGTATATAGCGTTTCAATTTTTCATATTTTTATTCTTTTCTGCATTTTTCTACTTTGTTTACTTTATACTAACTGTGCAATAGAAGGAAAATTCTTTTGTCGCATACGTCCTTAAAAATTTATTTTTCAAAATTATATTTATTTAAAAAAGTGAAGTTATCAAGAAAACGTTGGATTTGGGAATGCAGAGAGATTATTCGGGCAACATTGCTGCGATGCACTTGATGGGATTGGCTGCGGCCCAAAGCCCAAAAGGGCCTGGAAGAAAGAAAAAAAATTACGATTATCATTTATATTCGTCTTAATTTTAACAAAAAATTACGAAAAATTTTAAATAATATAATATTCCATATTTATATTATTACAATACTTATTTTGCTAATGTTTCATTTTTAAAATTATTAATCTATATTGTATTTAATAGAATGGTTATTATGACATATCTATGATTTTATTTCGGAAGGGGGGGTGGGTGGGATCAAAATTTCCTAAAAATAACGTCATTTAAAATACTTTATTGAATTTTTATGGTAACTAAAATAATACTTCGAGTGGAGTGAGGAGCCATCCTAGTTACCCCCCTCTCAAATATCAAGATAAAGCAAATTAATGATTATCTAACTGATTAGCTTAGTGAGCGGATGGGCGAGCGGGTAAATTTTTTAAAGAACGGGGGAGGTGTGGTAAAGAAAAACATATAAACTATGGGTGGGCGGGGTTAAAAAATTTACAACTTTTATTTGTTATTTAAAATCATTTAATTAAACATTAAAATAATGTTACCAGAAATTTCAACATTTTTAATACCAAATTTGATCTTACCCGTTTCCGTAAAAGCAAAGAGAATTCAATTAAAGATGATTTAATTATAAATGCAATGTTTGAAATAGATAGCATCCATGTCAAAATTAAACAACAACAGATAGGAAGACGTGGCTGTTACAGAGGAGAGCATTACCTAATGACATAACAAGAAAATTAAATTAATAAAGAGTTTTTAAATAATAGCAAGATTTTAGCTACTTAGTTTAGTTTAAGTTTACAATTTATAAACAAATTACTTTTTTTATTTATTATTAATAGTTTCACTTTTTATTTATATCTCACTTGAGTAGAGAATATACTGATGGAAACGAAAGAAGATGATTTATCAAAGCTATCAAGATTAGCTAGAAAAATATTGGTAATACCACAACCAGTGCCTCTTCTGAATGAGGAATTAGCATTACTGGAAGATTTTTAGTATCATTAAATATTAATTTTATATTATTACACAACATAAGCGTAGACAGGGGGGGGGTGGCAAGGGGAAATCCCCCCCCTTCAGAAATTTATCACTTTTTGTGAATATCATTTTAAGCTAAAAAATCTCCCCCTGACCCCCAAAAATGTATGCATATATCTTAAACAATAATTTGGAAGAAAGAATGTAAAAGTTGATATTTTTTTATAAAACTATTCATCATAATTTATACATTTATGGAAAAAAGCATTTATATATAAAAAAAGTGAACCAAAAAATGCTTTTTAAGAAATGGAATATAAGCCTAAGATAAGTCTTAAGACAAAAGTGATGTATTATAATTATTAATAATATCCATAAAATTCCTAATAATATCAAATATAATTTTTCATAAAGGGAGTAATTTTAATTTATTTATTTTAATAAAAGTAAACTATAATTATAAAACTATTGATAAAATAAAATAATAAATTAAATAAAATAAAAAAATTAAAGCACAATACAAACAGTGGAATATTATATGTCGTAGATTTACAGTATATCTAATTTTATCAATTATCATATGACACTCAAGTAATTTTTACCAATATAGCGAATTATATATTTTACTGAAAACTATAAAATATTGATAAGGACATCAGAACATCTTTTAAAGACATTGTGGGATGAATAATATGAAGATTAATTATCATTTTTTATTCAAAATAAATAGATGACGTTAAATAATTAAATGCAAATTGTTGCTATATTTATTATTAAGAGCATTGATTAGTAAAATTTGTTATAATATTAACTGTAATATATTCTCTAACTGGCAAATATGTCTGTAAAAGCTGAATTTCACCTAGTATTTTGTTACTAATTCTATAAAATAGAGGAATATCAACTATATGTCTACTTACTTTTTATAAATAAATTTCTTATACTTGTTTGAAATAAATTTGTTAAATATGACCAAATTAAGATTAAAATTGAATTTTATTTTTTTTAGTTTAAAAGGTCAGTGTAATAAAAGATAAAAAAAAATCGGTAACGCAAAATGAAATTGTAAAGAACATATGTACTTTGTTAACATGTAAATTCGCTATTATAAAAAAATGTATATAATGTAAAATTAGATTTTAAAATCAAAGAAGAGATCTCCCGATGCCTTCCATTAAATTAAAATGGTGGCAGCGTCGTTCCAAAGAGCCAGATATATGATTATTTTTTTAACACCGTCCAAATATACTATCAGATTTATAAAAAATATACCATACATACATCAAACAAATTACGTTCACGTTGCTTATTATGACGATATTGAAGACATGCAAGAGGTTTACGACTCAATAAATGGTCAACAAGCCGAAGATGATGAAGGAAACAAATTTTTTATAAATGCTAAAAGATATGAAAATTTTTAATCATTATAGAACAATTATTGTAAATTATATAAATTAAATAAAGGTAACAATAAAATATTTTATAAATTTATCATGACAAAATCGTTATCAAATGTAAAAAGTAATGTAGAATATCCTACATTATACAACAATATAGATACATACATTAAAAAGTTTGAAAATTTATTAAAGGACACGCAGGTTCCCGAGGCAGAAAAGGCTAATGCGTTCATTCAAAGATTACCAGAAGAAGATTATTTGGACCTGGAATCCATTTGCGTTCCATCTGATTACAACGATTTGAAAACTTTACTGGAAAAATACAGGCTAATACATCCCGATAAACCAATAGACACGTACAAAACGGAATTTAACGCAGCCGTTCAAAATAAAGGGAAAATATTCGGTAAATGGGTAACTAGACTATGTAAGTTGAATAATAAATGCAATTTTAAGGATCAAGAGAAAATAATTGAGAAGATAAAAATATCGTTAAGTAATAAAAAAAATTCGGGAGCAGATATCGAAATTAGAAAATATAACTATTACAGACATATTAAGAATTGGGAGAGAGATAAATGATGGGGAGGATTATCAAAATATAAATTTTAAAATGGATAATATAAAAATAGAAAGTGAAGCAGCATCAACTTCGACGATAAAGTACAAGGAGAAAAAGATGAAAAGAGAGAATCAAATAAACAAATAATAAAATACAATTCGAACATACCAACGAATAGGAGTTATGGACAATCCTGGACACCTAGATACAACAATCATCAACAATGGCAAAATAATTACAATTACAGATATCAAGGTAATTACTATCCAAGACATCAGAATAATTATGAACCAAGGTATCATTGTCAAGATAATTTTAATAATAGATTTTACAACGACAGAGGATATTACACACCAAGATCGTATAATAGATTTTCGAGATTTAAAAATAATTATAATAATAATAATAATTACAATTTTAATAAATATTATGATGAGCTCAGGTTTAAACCTAGATACAATGAATATCAACATTATCGTCATCAGAATTTCGATCAATCACGTAACAATCGATATCAAAACTATGAAAACGATGAACAAAGATACACGAATAAAGTTAATACAGTGAACATAGAAGAAATAAACGAGGAAAATAACGTCAAATCAGAAAACAAAGAAGTTAAGAAAATAAAAAACAAGGAATACAATCTATTCAGCTTGGATATCAACAATTTAAATGATGATAATAACAAAGAAAATGATGCATATAAAGTCATGTTATATTTAAATGACATACCAACTGTGATGCAAATAGATACAGGATCGCGATTTACAATATTACCGATAAATATTGCAAGAAAGATTGGGATAAAGATCTTAAATAAATCGGATACTAAATTAACTGGATATAACGGAAGAACAATAAAAGTGATGGGCAATGCCAATGTAAAAGCCAAATATGATGATAAAACCAAAATTTTGAATGCATATGTAGTAAAAAGTGACAAGATTGCACTCTTGGGAAGGAAGTGGATAAAAGTTTTTAAAAACATACTTAATCAATTTGTGAATTTAGTAGAAGAAGATAACAACAACGACATTCAAAAACTGATAGACGAATGTAAATCAAAAATAAATATGAAACCAATAAATCGCAGCTACGTCAAACTACATTTGAAACAGGATGCAATACCAAAAATTATAGCACCAAGACGTGTCCAGTACAAACGTTATGATTTAATTACAAAAATGGATCGAAGATAAAATAATAGAACCGGTGGATGATGTGCCATGGGCAAGTCCACTCACACCAGTTTTCAAAAAAGATGGTTCGGTAAGATTCTGTGCAGATTTCAAAAATACGATAAATCCAGCATGGGAAGATTTTAAGTATCCTGCAAAATTATCTAAAGGGAAGAAGTTTTCAAAAATAGACTTCAAGCAAGCGTTCCTTCAGATCCCTATACACAAAACATCGCGTGATTTACTTACAATATCGACACACAAAGGATATTACAGATTTACAAGACTACCATTCGGATTAAGAACTTCATCGGCAATTTTTCAACAAACAATGGACAAAATATTTGGTGATATGAAAGATGTTATTTTCTACATTGATGATTTATTAATCACTGATGATAACGATCAAGATTATTTAACAATATAAAAAAAGTTTTTGACCGAATTTCCAAATATGGGCTAATACCAAATTTCGACAAAAGTATATTTTTCAAAAAAGAAATACGTTTTTTAGGACATGATATAGATGATGAAGGTATTCATACAAACGGAGACAAAATCAAAGCAATTAAAAACATGCCTACACCAACAAACAAAGAGGAATTAGCAACATTTCTGGGCATGGCCAGTTATTACCGAAAATTTTTACATGACTTCTCAGACAAAGCAGATTCCTTGTACAAAAAAGTCAACAAAGATAAATGGATATGGGAAGAAACACATCAAAAGAGTTTCGATGATATAAAAGTATTAATAAGCTCTCCGCCAACATTAAATTTCTATAATCCAGAATTACCAATAGGCATAGCAACAGACGCTTCGAAAAAAGTAGGAGCTGTGTTATTTCATATAGAGAAAGATGGTAAAGAAAAACCCATAGCTTTCGCGTCATGAACTCTATTAAAAGCGGAAATAAATTATACGAACATCGAAAGAGAAGCATTAGCAATAATATATGCAATAAAAAAAATTCAGGAATACTTAAAAGGCACCAACTTTAAAATCTACACCGATCACAAACCACTCATATACA